AAAGAAAGAAAGAAAGCTCTATAATATAATGCAAAGTAAGTGTTACAGGAACCACTGGAAGACCACTGAGGTAACATAATAAGAAAACTCTTAAGTCTTCAAGGAACTCAGGTGCCAACATTTCACATGCTGACAAAGCAGGAGACAAATGACAAAAGATGAAGACAGTCAAAAGGTCTTAAAAAATAAATAAAATTACATTCCTTTGAAAGTTTTCACCATTGTCAAGTAGCCAAGAAGTCATTGCTGATTTTGGAAAAGAGACTTACCAAGAGCAGATACTGCAATATATTGGAAAGTAATAAAATAGACGTAGTTGGAATAAAAAACACTTTTAAAGCAGTGGGCATTGGGAAAGAGTGAGTATATTGAGTCTTAAAATTTGAAGACAACCAACACAACCCTAAAAAATCCCAGGAAATGAAGAATGTCTGAATGGGAAGTAAAACTACCCATTACTGCAATAATGTTCCTCTTCTGTTCAGAAAAGTAGGGGGATTTTTTTGAGTGGAGAAGGAGGGAGAGGACAAGAGATCACTGTTCACTCTGCTACCACATAGGTCTTGCCTTAAATTGGGATTTTCACACAAACATTATGATAATTTCACTTCTAAAAATATACATATATATCTATATATACATCTTGAAATTACTTGGATGATATTTCTACAGTCAAGTTTGGGGCGACTACTGCAACTTTCCTTTCAGACAACACTTATTAGGAACAAGCTTAATACCTTAAAAGGAAATAAAACCGTCATCAAATTCAGAGTAAATTTGAAAGTCCTTTCTTCTTTCAGTGGGAATAACCTAACCAGTAACAGCTTTCAGCCCAATGAGTTTAGACTTACAATCTATAAAATAAAATCACAGAGAGTTCAGTTAAAGCCTTTTGCCTATTTTTAATCCATTTTTTTTACTATCAGCAATATACAAGAAAATACAGCTCCCAAAGCTTGATGACCCCATTTCTGGGTTCTTTTACAAATTCAAAATGCAGACACAGTATTTGCTAATCAAGAGACCAATGCTCTATACCTAAGTAGCAACAAAACAGATGTTGTAAAGTACTCTGCTTCCTGCAACATGATATTTGCATTAAGGCACCTTCTGCCACTCAGAACTATTATCAGGCATTACACTAATAGCACTTTGTATGGCCGATTTTGAATTAAATTACTAATGTAGAAATATCACTTAGAATCTGAAA